AATAAATAGTAGAGCGTTAGATTTTTTGTTGTTAATGGTTTTTAAATCCAACTTGATAGCAAGTGTCCCTTTAGCCTGGTTATTCAATACATTTACATTTTTGCCTTTGCTCATACCTAGATTTTATAACCTGATCATGTATTCTTTGCCAGTTCAAAGTTTGCTAGAAGATTGGCACCATTGTGCCCAGCATTTCTGAGTGTCTTCAGTGTGAGAGGCAGTGCCCAAATGGCCTGGCACCGAAATGGGCTTCTAGCTGCTCCTCAGCTGCTGAGGTGAACCTCTCAGCTCTGGACCCCTCCTCCCCCCCAGGGACCCAAGATCACCCTCCTGAGCCGTCAGGTGGCACGTGCAGGCCTGGGTCCTGGGCAGGGTCCATCAGCGCCTGCCTGTGGGGTGGCGACCACTGTCTTCCACATTTGTGTCTATTTGGCTCTGGCCATTTCCTCCCACATGCCTTGCCTCTGCGGATTCCAGTGTTGAAAAAACAAATCCCTCCACTGTTGTGGCAAGGATTTGGGAGGGTCAGCAGAGGATGCACGTGCAGCAGTGCAGTTGCTTGAGGTATACTGGGTCAGTGTCACCGTTCAAAGGACGGGATACGCACGTTGCCCATGTCCTCAGGACTGCGACCTGCCCATGGCACAGACAGCGCAGGTGCCCACCATGCACATGGCCAGGGGCGAGCAGGCCGGTAATTTCCTGCAAGTGGGAAGAGCAGTGCTGGCATTTGACAAGGCACCTTAAAGTCTTGCTTGGGTTTCTTCCCAAGCTTTTTAAAGAATACATTCTGGGCCAGGCTCGGTGGCTCAACCTGTCTTCCCGCGCCTTGGGAGGCTGAGGTGAGAGGATTGCCTGAGCCCGTGGGTTCGAGACCCGTCTGGACAACTTGGCGAGACCTCATCTCTACAATAAATCAAAAAATTAGCCAGGCGTGGTAGCACACGCCTGTAATTCCAGCTACTTGGAAGACTGAGGCAGAAGGATTGCCAGAGCCCAGCAGGTCGAGGCTGCGGTGGCCGGGAGCGGCCACTGCACTCCAGTCTGGGCAACAGAGTGAGACTCCAACTCACAAAAAAATAATAAGTAAATAAATTAATTAATTAAATAAATAAAGAATAAATGCTGGCACTGATTTATTAGTAATTTATCCAAAAACATGGCCAGGCAGAGACGGTATTCCCTAGTGAGTGACGCTGAAACCAATGCAAGATTGAACAACGCACAGCATATGCTCTGAAGTCAAGGTGCCTCCCAGGATAGCAGCACTGTCTCCCTTCCCCTGGTGTCCTCATGTTCATGTGGAACAGTGTACCTTCCCAGCGTAAAATGTGGGTTCCATAACATGGACATGACGTAGAAGCATTTAACACCAACTCTGTTGCATATCAGTCATGATGTGAGCACAATGCAACTACCGGGCATTAGAACCCATCACATATTTAAGGTATAATAGAAAATAAACGGAAGTCAGACGCTAAACTTAAGTTTTACAAGAAAAATGAAGGTATTAGAGAGCTTCTATTTTTAACATTGCTCCTTAAGTGAAAGTCTTTACTTGTAACACACAGACACATAGGATTCCACACCAAGAGTTCCACACAGGCAAGCTGCTAACAATCCCGAATGGATTAATTAGCAAATGTAGTGAATGTCCTAAATTCCTGAGTTGTTTGAACCTGGGCTCTGTGCATGTGTGCATGTATGTTCTACTGAGGTAACACTAACAGGCAAACACACAGGTGCTAAATATTCTGCAGGATGGACTTGACAATCCGTGCTCCTGTATATCCACCACCCAGACAGGGCCGAGCATCTCCACCTGCGGGTCTGGGTTGTCCTGCCCCCACTCCATCACCAGCACAGAAGTCACCCCCGACACCTGTCACTGGTTAGTCATGCCGTTGCTTGGAGTCCATGTGTGTTCTCATGTCCCTCCCCCGCGAACCACACGATATTCCTAGACACACCCACATTCTTCTTCTCACCAAGTACTCCACATTTGGCCTGTTCGTGCTCAAATGGCGGATATCAGAGTTGCTCTAGTTTGGGGCTATTGTGAAAAGGTGGCCATACATATTCCTGTTTTCATGCTTTTGGGAGACATGTCTTTGTGTCCCTTGGGCAAGTCCCTCCGTGTGAGATTCCTGGGCCACATGGTGAATGTGTGTTTATAAGAGCCTGCCTGCCAGTGTTGGGAGCGGCACCCTCCACTCCTGCCACTGATGCAGTCATCCCACACCCTGGCCAACACTCGATGTCCACAGTGGCTTTGATTTTAGAGATCTCATTGGCATAGAGCATCACCTCATCACAGCTTGACTTCGTATTTTCCTAATGACTGATGAAGTTACACAGAGTATCACCTGTTTATTGGCCATTTGTGTGTCCTCTTTTTTTGTGGCTATTCTAAATCTTTTGACTTTTTAAAACTGGAGCTTGGGGCAACCCTCTTGGGGCCTTTTCTGTCCTCTCAATAAATCCTTCTTTAAAAAAAATTTGGAGTTTAGATTTTGTATTGATGATATTTAAGGGCTCTTTATAGGTTCTGGATACAAGATTTTTGTCAGATTTATGTGTTGCAAATATTTGTTCCTAATCTGTGGCTTATCAACTTTTTTGTTTTTTTGAGTTGGAGTCTCACTCTGCCACCCAGGCTGGAGTGCAGGGGCACGTGCACAGCCACCACAGCCTCAACCTGCTGGGCTCAGGTGATCCTTCCGCCTCAGCCTTCCAAGCAGCTGGAACTAGAGGCAAGCGCCACCACGTCCGGCTAACTTTTTGATTTATTGTAGAGATGAGGTTTTACCATGTTGCCCAGGCAGGTCTTGAACCCGTGGGCTCAGACAATCCTCTCACCTCAGCCTTCCAAAGTGCTGGGATTATAGGCATGAGCCGCCGCGCCTGGCCATCTGTTAATGTTCTCAATGTTTTTTTAAAGGAAAATATTTAATTCTTATGAAATCCAAATGTTTAGGTTTTCAAATACGCGTATGTGGTCTTGTTGACCTGTATTTGTAATGGTTTTTTTGTAGCTGACTTCTGCCTCCCAGTATGGACAAAGATGCCGGCCTAACCTCTGGGAAAGCACTGCTGGACATCACCCCCCTGCTGGAAGGCGGTACGAAGCTTCACAGCAACGTTCCTCCAGCCGCAAGAAGAATGACAGCTCTTCAGCCCCTGGGTTTCAGGGACACTCTGGCTTTTTCATTCATAGCTTTTGCAAAGAGGGTGCTTGTATTATTGTCTTTATTTCAAAGGAAGATAAATTATGACTGAGAATTTTGAGAGTGGCAGACCAGAGTTTTCTAGTTTCCAACATCACTATTGAGAAATTGGATGCCATTTTTATCCCAGTCCTTTGAATGTGACCTATTTTTGTTTTCTTTTCCTGGAAGCTTTTAGTTGTTATTATTATTTTTAATCTCTGATGATCTGAAATTTGTCTGCGATGTACCTTGATTGGTTCCAGTGCTGGGCCCCAGGCTGGCCACCCCAGGAGAACTCCCTCACCCGCCCCACCCCCACCGCCGTGCCCCTGGCTCTCAGGTGTGAAGAGTCAGCTTTCCACACCTGTCACCAGGGGGCCTTCCCTCCCATGTTCTCCTGGTGATGGGGGCATCACGCCCCTCCGGTCCTTTTGACTGAGCTTTCGTGGAGAGAAGAGAAACTGTGTTCACCTTGCTGTGTTTGGCTGGAGTCGTTATCCAAGATAACGATCCTCCAGCTTTCTTTCTAAGAACCCCTTTACAATTCTTAAAAACGATTGAAGACTTAGCCGGGCGCAGTGGCACACACCTGTAATCCCAGCACTGTGGGAGGTGGAGGCTAGAGCCCAGGGGTTCCAGACCAGTCTGGGCAACTTGGTGAGACCTCGTCTCTACAATAAATAAAAAAATTAGCCGGGCGTGGTGGCGTGTGCCTGTAGTTCTGGTTACTTTGAAGACTAAGGAGGCAGAAGGATCACTGAGCCCAGCAGGTCAAGGCTGGGGTGGAGGCTGGGGTGGCCGTGAGCGTGCCACTGCACTCCACCCTGGGCGACAGTGAGACTCTGGCTCAAAAAAAGATATATTGAAAGCTCAAAGAGCTTCTGCTTATGTTGGCTTTATCCTCTATATTTACTGTGTTAAAAATTAAAGCCGAAAAAAACTTTTTCTTAAAATCAGGGCTTCCCGGGGTGAAGTGCAGTGGCAGGATCACGGCTCACTGCAGCCTCGACCTCCAGGACTCAGGCAATGCTTCCACCTCAGTGTCCCAGGTAGCTGGGACTAAGGTGTGAGCCACTGCACCAGGCCTGAACATTTTTTAATATTTATTTATTCACTTAGAACAGCAACAATGGTCCGGGCTTGGTGGCTCAGCCTGTTATCCTAGCACTTTGGGAGGCCGAGGCAAGCGGATTGCCCGAGCCCGCGGGTTCAAGACCAGCCCGGTCAACTTGGCGAGACTTCGTCTCTACAATAAAATAAACGATAGCCGGGCATGGTAGCGCTCTTATAGCTCCGGCTACTTGGAAGGCTGAGGCGGAAGGATCGCCGGAGCCCAGCAGGTCGATGCTGGGGTGGCCATGAGTGTGCATGCCACTGTACTCCAGCCTGGGCGAAGGAGTGAGACTCCAACTCAAAAAAATAAAAAATAAAACAGCCACAACGAACCCATTAGAGGTAACATAAAGAGTCTGATTTAATAGACCACAGCTGGCTTCTCAAATCCGTAGCTGCGTGTGTCTGCTGTGATGTCACATGTCATACAGCATCTGGAAAACTCCACTGTACCCTCGTGGAAAAACAATGAAAAAGACAAATAAGGTGTGAGGGTGACCACGAAAATGGCTTTGGCTTTGCAGACCCCTGAAAGAGTGTCGCCAGCCTCTAGGGTTCCCCGACCACGCTTGAGAACCACCACACTGAGACCTGGCACCAGTGACACGTTGACTTTGAGCATTCCCTTCTAACTCCTGCCTTGACTTCTAGAGAGGGGTGACCCCAAGGACCCAGAGCATGACTGTGGACCTCTTCTTCCGGAAGCCGAGAACGGCACCCACCCAGGAGGCTGCTGGTATTCCCTCTGGGTGGGCGGGTGCCCAGGGCAACCCCTAGGCCGGCCCAGGAGGGGTCCTGGTGCTGGGGTGGGTGAGGCGGCTGGTGTCCTCCTTCCAAGGCCGGCGAAAACACGAGACACTGAGGCCAGCAAGACCGAGGGGAAGGCTGCTGGTGACAGGACACGGGCGTTTCACCTGCGCCAGAGCCTGAGCCACCTGGATAGGATACACGAGGAAGAGGACCTGCTGACCCAGAAGACCCGGTGAGCCCTGGGGCAGGGGCCAGCTCGTAGGGAGGCTCCTCTGACCTGCTGCCTCCTCCCTCCCCCGCTTCTCCTCCCTCCTGCTGCCCCCATTTTGTCTGTGACGCCGGCGTGTGGTGGCGTGTTCCTATGTCTGCTGCCTCCTGAGCCTGCAAGGGAGGGCCCCACCCATGTCTCCCTGGGGGAGCCACTCACCAAACCCCACCAGGAGTTGGCACCTGGCCTTCTCGGCCTCCTTCCAACAGAAAGGTTTGAAACAAACAGTGCAGCTGAAAGCAAATGCCTCTGCTCAGAATCACAGCCTGTCCAGCTTTTGCAGTAATTCCTGTGTGTTTTGTGTTCAGCGGTGACATCTAGGAGGATTGCTGGGTTATTTGACAGTAAATTTGCAGACGTGATATTTTACTCTAAACAGTTCAGTGTCTCCTAACAACTAGAAACATTCAGGTGTGGTGGTGCATGCCCAGACCCAGCTACTCAGGAGGCTGAGGCGGGAGGATCGTCTGGCCCAGGAGACCGAGGCTGCAGTGAGCCATGATCACGACACTGCACTCCGGCCTGGGGGACAGAGCCAGACTCCCATCTCTAAAAAGCAATAACATGTAATGACCTTCTTTGCATAACCTCAGCCCCATCCTTCACCTGAGAAGTCGAGGTCACCTGTGTCGAGGTCACCCTTCCCTGTGTCTCTGAGGCGTCTGTAGAATCTCTAGGGTGGGCGTTCTGGCTTGTGCTCTTTCTAAACAAGGTCGCCCCTCAGGCCCTAGTGTTGATTGAAGCAGGACTCTCTGCAGGCCCCACCCTGAGCAGGGACCCGTCTGTGTGAGGACAGAGGAGGCAGAGCCATGGCCAGAGGCACCATGGAGGAGGAGCCGCGGCCACAGGCCCTCTGAGGCCCCGGAGCTTACCGGTGTCTGTTATGTGCCCAAGCTCACAGGCTCCTGCATATCTCGTTGGCTCCCGGCTCCCACACCGTCCTCAGCTCCTAAGAACAGGTCGCCTTGGGCTGAAACCACTCAGCTGGCCCTTGGCAGGTTTCCAGAAAAGGATGGGGGAGACCCATTTGTGTGGCCTGTGTTGGAGAGACCTGGCCTGGGCAGGGCAGAGCTGGCAGCCCGGCCCCGCCCCGTCTGGCCCCACTGCCTTCTCCAGGCTGGAGTTCCAGGGACCACTGTCCACATTCCAGAGAGGAGCTGCGTGCCTGTCGCCAGAGGATGGATCTTATACGCAGACATGAGGAGGCCGTGACAGCTGAGATCGCCACGGAGAGAGCAGCCAACAACATGTAGGTCGTCCCGCGGAGCAGGGGACAGTCGGGGGCAAGGTTGGAGTGGGGGGGGCACGTGGGTAGGGCAGCGCCGCCGAGGTTCACTCATTCACCCTGAAAGATGCATCAGGCCCCTGTATTCGGGCAGGTGAAGACACAGACAACACACAAACACTCAGGCACCCGCAGGACCATGGAGCCCAGTGGTCATAAGGTCAAGAGGCCGGGTCACTTTGTGGCAGAGGCCAGGCTGGTTGGGTTCGGGAAGAGCACCTCAGGATTGCGCTAGCCTCCAGCCACGGGGCCAGGCTGACAAGAGGGCAGGGGATGCTCCTGTGGCCCCACTCGTGGACCCAGGAGCCCGAAGCCCTGAGGCGGGGGGGCTTGAGGGACACTGGGGATGCTGACACCCCCTGGCAGGCGCCGAGCTCCCAACTGTGCCCCACTGGGCACCAGAACTGGTTCCACTGGCCCCACACTTCCTGCCTTCTCCATCCGCCGCTCCTGAGATCTCCTTCCTGAGAGGGAGGAGCCCGAGGGCAGCGCCAGGGGACCATGGGTGGCTCTAGCAGGGTGACAGGCGCCTGCCTGTGCCCAACCTGGCCCTTCACTGCTGCAGGGCAGCTGTGGGCCGTCTCCAAGCGGCCTCCAGACGCCTGTGCATGGAGCTGGAGAACGAGCAAGAGCTGCAGCAGACGATCAGGGCCACGTTGAAAGGCAGCGAGTGAGTCTGAGGGCCGGGCAGCTGGGGGGGGGGACAGCAGGGGGCTTCAGGACAGCAGGCAGCAGGAGGTGGACCTGGGCAGCCGGGGCAGTGGGGGGATACACCAGGGCAGTGGGAGGGCTGGGGCAGCGGGAGAGGGCGGCTGGGGCAGCAGGGGGTGTCAGGGTAGCAGGAGGCCAGCCAGACAGCTGTGGGTCGGTTCTGGGGACTGCCAGGCTGCTGAGAGCTGGAAGGGAGGGAGCACGTTCAGTGAAGGGTGAGGGCCTGTCTGCACATGGAGTGTTTCGGCTTCCCCTCACTTGGTTACCTTCTTAGCAACTGTACAAGCATTTTCTTTTTCCTTTCTCCCCATTTCCTGTCCTTTGTGCTACCATGGAACAACTAGCACCATTTTATAAAGCGCTTCCCAAGTTTCCTGGAAGCGTTTGCCAGGAAGGAGACAGCTGCATACTGCTAAGAACTTTCCTGGCAGAGCTGCCTCTGGTGAGGTCAGCAAGAAGGGGCTTGGGGCGTGGAACACGGTGCTCACAGAGTGGCGGGGGGGAGGCTGGGCTGACACCAGATAGACTGCCCAAAACACACAGCCCGCCAGCCGCAGGAAGCTGCTGCCAGTGCCATGACGCCCATAGCGTGGACCCCGCCTGGGACAAGGTGTGAGCTTTCCAGCCCGCCAGGCAGGAGGGCACAGGGAGGGCCAGGAGCAGCCACCAGTCACCCTGCCCACAGGAGTGCCCACAACATTGACCCTGGCGCAACCAAATGTCTCACCTTGGGCCAAGCCCTGGCCCTGAACAAGCCTCTGACCCACACACACCATGATTTAGTCACAATCCAGGCTGATGTCCAGCGCCCTGGGTACTGAACTGCAGAGCTGATGGCTATGTGTGGCTGGTGTAGATGGCAGGAGAGAGGCAGCTGAAGAAACGGGGCCCTGGCCGAAGAAGAGAATGCAAGGCTTATGATGTCTTCTGACACCTGGCTGGTGTTCACAGCCCCCCGAGACTGGCCTGCGCCCGGAGGGATCTTCAAAGGCTGAATGACCTGGTGGTTCTGTCTTCACAGGGTGCTGTGATCACACTTACTTCTTTAAAAAAAAAAAAAAAACTTTTATTAACCGGGCGTGGTAGTGTGCACCTGAAGTTCCGGCTACTTGGAAGGCTGAGGCGGAAGGACTGCCAGAGCCCAGCAGGTCAAGGCTGCGGTGGCCAACCTGGGCGACAGAGTGAGACTCCAACTCAAAAAATAAAAAACAAAACAAAGCAAACAACTTTTATCTTGAAACAATTTCAAACTTACAGACGAGCGCAAGATGGCAAAATGCACCACGAACCACTGTCAACCCTCGGCCAGGTCAGGCGACTTGGAGCAGGAGCCCACTGGGGGACTGGTCTGCTCATTCTACTCGCTCACCTCTCCCCATCAAGGCAGACCCTCCATCCTTCCATGACACCCGTGACCTTGACAGTGTTGACGAGGCCAGGCCGGGACTGTCCCTTGCTGTGTGTTCGTTGAGCGGCGATTGTGCTGGCCACTACCTGACCGTGGCGTTGGCCTGGCTTTTTCCAGGCAGTGGCTCCATTCCCTTAGAAACTGATGTGTCCGTGGGTGAAAGCTGGAGGCTGGGAAACCCCACTCCTCACCCGTCTCATGGGCATCAGCCCAGTCGATGGCTCTCGCTCAAGTAACAACGGTGGGTGCCATCTGGTCCCGCTGCTCCTTCTCCACACATCCATGTTTGCTGGCCTTCTGTGAGCCTCTCCTCTCCGTGTTTTTTATCAGCATAGACCCTTGCTGCGAGCAGCGCAGGGTTGGAGATGGCAGTTCAGCATCAGGCCTGTGTTGCTGCCGTCTTATCATGAGAGCCACAGTTCCCCTCGGCACCCCACTCACTCAGTAGTCACCCGCAAGCACGCCGGCTCAAGCCACTCCACACATCAAGTCGTGTCCCTAATCGCTAGAGAAATGTTATAGGTTGAACATTCCACAGAGTAGCATTGAACATTGAGAGAAAGGGAACAGGAGGAAGGGTCAGGGAGCCAGCCCAGGGGAAGGCAAGGTGAGCAGTTTGCCTGGGCTTCTGATGTGGGTGGGGTCTTTTATGATGGTTAGCAGCAGAGCATCCCATGATGGATGGATGGGGCTGGGCGTCCCATGACAGGTGGGGGTGGAGCATCCCGTGATGGATGGGGCTGGGTCTCCCCTGATGAATGGTGGGGTGGGCCTCCAGTGATGGATGGATGAGGAGAGGTGTCCCACAATTATGCATGGAGAGGGGTTTCCAGTGATAGATTGGTAGATTCTCTGATAGTGATGCGCAGGGCCTCTGGTGGCAGATGGGGGAGTCTCTGGTGGTAGACAGGCAGGTTCTCCAGTGGTAGATGTGCTGGACCTCTGGTGGTAGATGGGCGGAGCCTCTGGTGGTAGATGGGCGGGACCTCTGGTGGTAGATGGGGGAGTCTCTGGTGGTAGATGGGCAGGGCTTCCCGTGATCAATGGGTGGAATCTCCAGTGGTGGATAGGCGGGGCCTCCGGTGGTAGATGGGCGGTACCTCTGGTGGTAGATGGGGTAATCTTTTGTGGTAGATGGGCGGGGCTTCCAGGAGTAGATGGGGGGGGGTCTCTGATGGTAGATGGGCGGGGCCTCCCGTGGTCAATGGGCGGGACCTC